AAAAAAACAAGATCCAACTGTATACTGTTTCAAAGAGACTCAGACACTCACAGGCTGAAGGTAAAAAGATGTAATATCTACTCCTCTTTGTAATTTCCATCTAACAAAGCAGCTTTCAAGCAAAAATTAATCAGAATACACAAAAAGGCCATTACATCCTGATAAAGGGAACAAGCCAACAAGATATGATAGTAAATATTTATGCCACAAATGTTAGCACACCTAATTACATAAATGCTTCATGACATTAAATCTCAAATAGGCCCAATATCCAGTTATTCTGGGTGATTTCAATACACCCTTAACAATTCATAGGTCATCAAAACAAAAAAAAAATCAAAAAATATTTTTTAACCTAAATAATAATCAAATGGGACTAAGGCATCCACAGAATATTTCACCCCAAAACAGCTTAATTTATCTTCAACAGCTCATGGAAAACTTTCCAAAATAGAGCATATTATAGATCACAAGGTAAATCTTAGCAAATACAAAAAGATAATCCCAAGCATTCTGTCAAATCATAATAGATTGAAACTAGAAATTAACAGCAAGAAAAATAGAAAGCACATAAAAACATGGAGATTGAGCAATATTCTCTTAAACAATGGTTAGTGAAATGAAGGTAGAAATGAAGAAATTCATAGACATGAATGAGAACAGATAYAGCATATCAAAATCTCTGAGATAGTATGAAAGCATTTCTAAGAGGAAAATTTATAGCTCTGAGTGCCTACCTACATTAAAAATTATATTTCAAATAGGCTATTCTCCAATTCAAGGCCTTAAGAACTAACCCTAAAACCAGTAGAAGATAGGAAAGAATTTAGATCACCAATGAAATTAATGAATTTGAGGATTAGAAAAAAAGAAAATGCACAGGATCAATGCAACCAAAAGTTGGTTCTTCAAGAAGACTGAAGAACTTAGCCAAATTAACCAAAAAGACAAATAAATTAGAGATAAAAAATAGGCTATATCACCAGAGACCCTTTTGAAATCGAGGATCATCAGAACCTAATTCGAAAATTTGAGTTCCAAAAAACTGGAAAACCTAGAAGATGTAGACAACCTAAACAGAACAATATTGAGCAATGAAATTGAAACAGCAATTTGAAGCCTTCCAAAAGGGTAAAGTCCAAGATGAAATAAGTACTCAGTCGAGCTCTACCACATCTTTGAAGAATCAACACCAGTCTTTCTCAAATTATTCCATAAAATTGAAAGGGAAGGAACACTCCCAAATATATTCTATGAAGCCAGTATCACCCCGACACCAAAACCAGACAAGTATGCATCAAGGAAAGACAACTACAAGTCAATATCGCTAATGAACATAGAGGCACAAATCCTTAATATTAGCAAAGCACATTTGAAAAAAGCACATCAACAAGATAATACACCACGATCAAGTGTTTTTCATTCCAGGGGGGCAATGTTGGTTCAACATATGCAAATCAATAAACATAATTCAGGATTAAGGACGAGAATCAGATAATCATTTTGATAGTTGTTCTTGCGTAGGCAGAATTCATTTTGTCTAAATGGTCTAAAAGGCCTTTGATAAAATCCAGCACCCATTCATGTTAAAAACCCTGGAGAACCTAGGACAGAAGGAACTTACCTCAACATCATAAAGACTATCTATGACAAAGACAAGTCTGACATTGTACTAAAGGGAGAAAAACTAAAATCTTTTCCTCTAAAATCAGGAACAAGACAAGGCTATCCATTCTCACCACCCCTATTCAATATAGTCTCCAAAACATTAGCCAGAGCAATCACTAAAGAGAAGGAAATCAAAGGGATACAAATAGGAAAAGAAGTTCAACTCTGGTCAATGACATGATTCTATACAAGACCTCCAAATCTCCAACAGAAGACTGTTAGAATTCAGCAAAGTAGCAGGATACAAGATCAWCACCTATAAATCAATAGGTTTCCTACACTCCAACAGTAATTCAGCCAGGAAGTCAGGAAACCATCCCATTCACAATAGCCTCAAAAAAAATATTTGAGAATTAGTCTAACCAAGGTGGTAAAAGAGCTCTATAAAGACAATTATAGAACATAGAAAAAAGAAACTAAAGAAAACCTTGGTTGATAGACCTCCCATATTCTGGGTGTGGACTTTTAGGGAGGGAGTACTTGGGATTGTACTCAGGGGCACTCAACCACTGAGCCACATCCCCAGTCCTATTTTGCATTTGATTTAGAGACAGGGTCTCACCGAGTTGCTTAGCACCTCGCTTTTGCTGAGGCTGGCTTTGAACTCATGATCCTCCTACCTCAGCCTCCAGAATTGCTGGAATTACAGGTGTGTGCCAACCATGCCTGGCCATCCCATGTTCTGGATAGGCAGAATTAACATTGACTAAATGGTCATACTACTAAAAGCAATATACATATTCAATACAATCCTCATCAAAATACCAATAACATCTTCATAGAATTAGAAAAAAATGATCCTTAAATCTGGAAGAGACCAAGAATAGCCAAAACAATATTGAGCAAGAAAAATGAAGCAGTAGACATCACAATACCTGATCTGAAATTATACTACGGAGCTGTAGTAACAAAAACCACATGATATTGGCATCAAAATAGACATGAAGACCCATGGAACAGATTAGGAGATGGACAAACACACATACTTACAGCCATCTGAAACTTGACAAAAGGTGCCAAAAATATATTTTGGAGGAAAGACAAACTTAACAAATGGTATTGGAAAACTGAATACATGTAGAAAAATGAAACTAGACCCCCATATCTCACCCTGCACCAAAGTCAAATAGGAATGAATCAAATACTTCTGAATTAAACTATAAACCTTCCAGGTGCTAGAAGAAAACTTAGGGTCAACAGTCCTACAGAATAGAAAAAGATCTTTGTCACATGCTTCTCAGACAGGGCATTAACATCTGGAGTATATAAAGAATTCGAAAAATATCCCCCCCAATAACCCAATTAACAGGCAAAAGTACTAAACAGACACTTCTCAAATAAATATAAATAGCAGACAAGTGTGAAAAAAAATGTTCAACTTCCCTAGCAACTGGGGAAATGCAAATCAAAACTACATTGAGATTTCATCTCCTGTTAGAATGTCAGTTATTAAGAATAAACAATGCTGGCAAGGGTGTGGGGGAAAAGGTAACCTCATAATTTTGTGGGGGGGAGTACTGGGTATTGAACTCAGGGGCACTTGACCACTGGAGCCATATCCCCAGCCCTGTATTGTATTTTAGAGACAGGGTCTCACTGAGTTGCTTAGCACCTCGTTTTTGCCAAGGCTGGCTTTGAATTTATAATCCTCCTGCCTTAGCCTCCTGAGCCACTGGGATTACAGGCATGCACCATGGTGCCCAGAACTCAAATTATTGGTGGAAGTGCAAAATTAGGACTACCACTTTGGAAAGCAGTATGGAGATTCCTCAAAGGGATACAACCACATATGACCCAGCTATCCTACTCCTCTGTATTTATCTCAGAGAACTAAAATCAGCATACAACAGCAATACAGGCACAATATCTACAGCAGCACAATTAATAATAGCCAAGGTATAGAACCAACCCAGGTGCCCATCAACAGATGAATGGATAAAGAAAATGTACATACCCAGTGAAGTTTGAGTCAGCCATACAGAACAAAATTATGGCATATGTTGGTGATTGGGTGGAAATGGAGAATATCATGCTGAAATAAGTCAAACTCAAAGGTCAAATGAATTCCTACACACACACACACACACACACACACACACACACAAATGCATTAATAAAAACAAAACTAAGTATGAGAATTTAGAGTCGAGAGTTAAAAGTCTGAACAAGATTTTCATATTTCTATTTTTACCTACCATATAGAGAGATTTAGAATTTTTATGTTCTTTGCAAGAATTCTGGTTTAGGTCCAACTTTTCTAGTTGAAGGATACAAGCAAATTTATTTTATAAGCGGCGAGCTCCAGTGTTCAGCAGGCATTATTCACACTGATGATGTAATTGCAGCCAAGGAGAAGACAGGGCACCATCAGGAAGAGAGCCTCAGGATGAGGTAAGAGTCAAGCRTAAGCAGAGAACCTATAGCCGTTCAAGTTCAATTATAGAATCTTCATACCAGAAATGCTGCAATTCCACCTAAGGAAGACGGAACCTTCCTTTCCATCTCCCAGAAGCTATTGCTGATCTTTAGACTACAGGAAGGTGTGATTAAGTCACAAATTCTCAGGCAACTTCAAGCCACTTAAGTTAGGAAAGACTTTAAATCACTAGATCATTCTTGGGAATACCTCATCGGAAAATTTTGCCACTAAGGTGGTTCTGTGTACATGGATGAACATCCCCCACCCCCAAATTCATGTTAAAGTCCTTGTCCTCTGTGTGGAAGTATTGGGAGGTGCTATGGACCTTTAAGAGGTGAAGCCTAATGGGAGATTATGTTATTGGTGCATGCCACCAATGGGGATTGTGGGACCCAATGTCCTATGCTTCCTGGCCTCTTGTGTGACCTCTTGCTCTGACATGTCCTCCCATGATGATATGCTACCAGACCATAGACCCAAACCAATGGTGCTACTTGACCTTGGACCTGAACCTCCAGAACTATGAAAAAACACTTTACTTCATAAGTATTCTGTGTCAGGCATTTTGTTATAGCAACTGAAAACCGACTAACAGATGGTATACTGTTCCTGATTCCCTATTCTGTGGGAGTGGAAGGAATAAGAGACTTATTTAAGCATACCCTCAGAGATGGGTTATAGCTAAGCTTCATACTATTGAATGTAGGTGCCAGAGGAGCTGAGTTTATGGGTGAGGGGTCAGAAAATGTCAAGTAACAGGTAACTATTAATTTATAAATTTCCCTATTCATGACCACATAAACCAAAATTTGCTGTGATAGATACCACATCCACCCTTAAAAACCACTAAAGTAACTTTAATGCTATCTAATGCCGATAGAAGGCAAGAGGTTTACTTTATTTGTAAGTACAATTAGTGATTTGACATGGTTCTTTTCTTACATAGGTAACCGACAAGGCCTAGAGTTACCACCAAGCCTGCTAAGGCAGCCACAGCAGCCACTGTTCTAGAAGAAACGCCTCCAGCAATATCATGTCCTTTGGAGTCCTCGACATCTGGAAAGGAAGCAAACATTCAACTCTTAAGGTTTGTTTAAAGTATAAGTTGAAGCTTTACATATTGAGTCTTCTCAAAGGAGGACATGCAGTTAAGCCTCAGGAACTTCTTTAGCAAGTATGCAGCAGGGCACAGCCTTACCCAGGGACCCATCCTCATCCTCCCCTGCTCCACGATCATCTCTGCCTGCCACCACCCCTGCCCCACCTGCTTTTTCCTCATCTCAAATCAGATGGTTAGCCATCCCTCCAATGTGTGATCTCAAGCTGCCGGGGATTGAAGGCAGCTGAATATCAAGTTCTGAGGTGAAGACAGATTATGTTCCCATACACATCCTAATACAGGATAAGTTTGTCAATGGCAAGGTGAAGGAGGCTCATGACTTTTGACCTATCAATCCTATTATTAGAAACAGAGCTTGAATTTCTTGTACAGTAGGCAAGACCCTCTTAACAACCCAATATGGCAATGAACAAGTACAYGGAAGCAAGCTAAATGTCCACGATGGGTTGTGAATAAGGCAGAGTCACAAGAATGTTGTACAGCTGTGAACAGTGAGGTAGTCGCCTTATATCTACAGAGACCCAAGACAAGAAGTTGTAGGCCAGTGGGCAGCATCTATGATCCCACTTGTATTAACAGGGAATGTTTGGGAGGGAATACAARAAGCCTCTTTGGGATGGGAGACCACCTTTTATTTGCCCTTACTTAGATTTATTATGAACATGTATTATGCATTAGCATTAAACTTTTGGTGTAAAAGGTAAGAACTTCAGTCTAGGAAGCACTCCGGGCTTTAAATCAATACCTCTGAATGAAGAGCTATCTGATAACAGGATAATGGGTCCCGGGAGGCTGAGTGTCATTTTGTCCTCTTCAGTGGTTCCTCTGGCTAAAAGAAAAAAAAAATTGAGGTTGTGTTTGACCTCTGGAAGAGCATCTGCTAGGTATTTTTACAGAATCATCAAGAGATGCTCCAGGTTTCTCCTTTGTCACGAGCCATCCGTGGGCTGTGTGGGAACTATTTATTGTGCAGAGTCGCCAAATGAGGGGAGAGGCCTGGCACTGCGACCTCCCCGTCAGGGAGTGGTCACAAGATGCAGGTGCACCTCTCCCTCTAGCTCTGCCTAAGATCCCACACAGCACCCGAGATGGGTGTGACATGCCAAGATGTCAATCAATCTGCTGACCAAAAGACACCACAAAGCAAGACTCCACCCTTGCTTGAAACCTTCTACCTGCCTCTGAGGTCCCCATCATAAAATAAAGGAAATGCAGACTCACGTTCTTTCCAGAGTGCTCTTTCCAGCTTGGAAGCTGACCCTTAAGGTTGCAGAGCCATCCTGCCCTCAGTTTAAAAACTATTCTGGGATTTTTCATGCCGTCTTAGCTTAATGTTGCAGCCAGCTCTTTTAAACCCAGTTCGTCTTGTCTGCGTGGGTCATGGGTGAGACTCTTTGTATTTGGCCTGCTTGCGGAGGAGAGGTCATGCCCCCTAACTATTAAACTGGAATGGATTCTCAAAGACCTTGTCCACAGAACTAACCAAGAAGCTGCCCATCTCAGGCTCATCGTACAGGTAAAGGGAGAGGGGGCCGAGACGTCTCTCGGGACCTCAGGAAGAGTTACATCCATCTCAGGATGCTGCAGGCACTGCTGAGAGGAAGAACATTTGTGTCCGAGTATGTGTATAGTTACAGTGAAGAGTGAATTATGTCTGTCCTCAAAATCTTCAATTCCCAAAGGTTGAGGATGGCTTTGAATAAGATGCACCTAACAGGCATTTGGGGCTTTTACCTCGTCGGGGCCTCGATGATGCAGGGCAAATCACAGAACACAGAGGGGAGGAGTCGGGAGAGAGCTGATTGCAGATTAAGGCGCTGCAGTGGAAATAGACCTAAAGAGAAGAGAGCCGGGTGGGACAAGGCACTCACATTGAACCTATCCTAGGCAACTTCCGGGTCACTTACCAGGCTGGGGAACACCTGAGCCTCTGAGACAAAGGCAAAAGTCTTCACATCAAACCTCTGGTAGTGGTTAGGATGGGTCATGAAGGGACCAACTGGATGGAAGGTAGTTTGGTAGTTGTCCAGGTTATATTCACAGCTAGGAAGCAGGGAGGGACATCAGTCTCATGCACCCCTACGTGCCCATTTGCCCAAATCAAGTCATGATACCCACAGGACCACCTTCTACCAGTACCTTCGTTTTACTTATAAAACTTTCTGACCTGACCTATCCAATGCTACCCACGAAGTCCAATTATATGTAACTATTTTTATAGTATGTATTAAAACGAGGAGAACTGAATTCAAAGTTACATGTGCATTACTTAAGATACGGGCTTAATTATTTCCATTAGTTTGCCTACTTGTCTTGTCRCCAACGTATTGCCTGGGACAACTCCTGCCACTTCGTTTTACATGCTAGAAAGGAGTGATACTATCAAGAAAATATACTTGGTACTTACCAAGAGATAAATAGTTAGACCAGGGTAAGAGATAAGGAAGATCAAGAGAGATCTCATGGAGAAGGGCTACTTGAGCAAGTCCTCCGAGAGGCGAGGGAATAAGATGTGCAACTGTACTGGCTGTACCTAGTCCTGGGGCAGGAGTGGACATGGAGGATAAGAGTGTAGCAACAGACTCTTACAATGTCAAGAAAGCTCGACATTCTCTGCAACAATGGGTAGGACACTGCATGCAGAGCCGAGAGTGTAAACACCCATATCCAAGCATATGTGTAGTTACAATCCCATGGCATCAGAGTGTTCAGTTTCTAGAGTCAAACGAGAATTCCAATTCTAGCTTCACCACTTAAATAACCAGCCCAAAGCAATGCACAAGTAGCAAGCTTGGACTTCTTGATGAAGCAAGAGGGCGAGTGATCCCTCACAGGGCGATGAGGCTCAAGCACGTGGGAAGTGCTCAGTGAACAAACAGGGTCTGGGACTCCCCTTTTTGTCCTGATGGAGTATTAGAGCCTGACTCCTTTGGGGGGGGGATCCCATTCCTTAAGATTCCAGGGTGGTAGGAAAGCAGCATGAGCCACCTGATTAGAGCCAGGGCAGATGACTAGGTGACAAGGACAAAAATAAGGGTCTTTGTGCACAAACATGCCTCTAATGCCCAAGAGTGTCTATTCCTGCATCACTGGCGAGTCCTGAATGGGTTGTCTGGGCAGCCTATGGCACAGGGAGCACCTACCCATCCATGACAATATTCCACTGGGGGAGAGAGGCCGGGTCCACAGCGGTTGTTGCCCAGCAGTCATCTAAGACCAGCTTGATACTGGGGTCATCCCTGTTTAGGACTCTGACTTCCATGTAAATTGGTTGGCGGAGATATTTCACTATAGGGTACTCATGGTTCCCATAAGGTCGCTGGTAGGTTTCGTCTGAAATGAAAAGGAAGCCTCTTCAGTATTCAAGCAGGTGGTGGTTGTAACGTTAGATTGCAGCGTAGGCTTGCAGAGCCTCACTACTGTTCCATTAGGGAGGTATCATCAGAAAGTTCATCTTAGGGAAAAGTCCAAGAGTGTTTAAGGAACTATCACAAGCTGCGGTATGTCACTTGCTCACCTGGGTAGGTTTGCAAGATCAACACAAGGGGACCAGGTTTCACAGGGGCCACTGGAGGAGGAAGACTTTCAACATTGGCATTTAGTATCACATCATCCCTGCCGTAATAGCACTTCACTGTCATTCTGTAAGAATGTATGGAATGGTATGAAAAATTTTAGGTCAACAAATTTCTTGAATTTAAAGCTTTTTTTTTTTAAAAAAGAAAGAAATTAACTGTTTCATACCTGAACTCACTATCTCTGGATATTTTACTTGGAGGAAGATCTGACCAGAGAGCCTGTATTTCATTTTCATAGATGACTTTATCATCTTCAAACTTGAAGAGATATTTGAGCAAGTTGGTTACCAACCAGTAACTTCATAGGTTAAGTCTTAACCTTTTACCATCCACCGGTACTAACCTTACGTCTTGTTCCACATCCATTCAGGGGTATGTGAAACCAAGCCCGCCTCTGAGGTTGAGCCTTGAAGACAGGTTGACAAGAGGAGTTTCCCACCCTGAGGCTCCCCAAGTCGAGAGCTGGTTTTGTTTGGTGGCTGTAGACCTCGAAGTCCATAAACCCATCCTGGGAACACAGCTCTCCTGTAACTAGATCACAGTGAGGGTTTAGAGAAAATTAATTTGTCTGCCTTGTGAAACCATCATCTGTCAATCTTGAAATGTTTCGATGGAATGATCCTAACTTTTGGCAGGATTAAGCCATTCTGGTGAAGGTCTTAAATCTTTGTTTGGGAAATGCCTTCACAAGCAGCTCGAGTCACAAGGAAGCCTAGGAAACATTTAAGCTGTTCCGTATCGAAGTGCCACAGAGGGTAGGAGACTAGTGGGGACCCCTGATGAGGGGGCTAAGGTGACAAAGATCAGATTCAAAGTAGCTTTCCGCATGGCACCTGTATCATTACATAACCTTATTTCAACGGTGCCGACAGGATCCTCAAAAACTGTAGATTTCGGAAATTTTGGAATTAGAGGATGCCTAACTGCTAAATTTTATGCAAATTCTCAGAAACTCCCAAAAGACTAAAATTTAAAACTTTTCTGGCCCCAAGCCTTTTGGATAAGGGATATTCAACCAATAATCACAAATCCCAAGTGGTGGAGGAGAAACTAAGGCAGAAACTAATTTTTTTTTCTTTGGCTTGACCAAGGTCAGAGTCAACAGAAGCACAGAGACAGTCTAAACAAGAGGTGACACCCGCTCGGCATTCCTTTTGGGGGAATATGTAGGATTTAGAGGAAAATCTTTTAAACTTTTATGGTTCCTCTAGTTAATAGTTTGAGGCATCTTTATCTAGTCGGTGGGCTCAGGTCTCTAACCCAAAATAACTAGATGATTTCAACATAAGACAGTTACAGCAAGATCTACCTGCAGGAATGGTTTAGAAACAAGGAGGACTCATGGTAGCAGCTAGATAGATGTCTCAGATCTGACTAGTCTTTAGTTTTAGCCACAAGCAAAAATTCAGAATTTTTATGTTTCCCCACATACACAAGAGGATCTAAGAGAATAAAAAAAAAAAGTAGGTGATGATTTTAATAAAACATTTTACCTATAGAGACTGGTGACTCACAGAGACACTCAGGCTCAGTCACCATGGATACCATATCCAGTTGAAAGTAAAAGGTCAGCTTGAGTGACGATAAGTAGAACTGATGGCCGAGGCATTTTTCAGAGGACTGAAATGAGAGAAGAATGTCAATTAGCAGCCACAGTCAGTCTGGGGCCCAGAGCAGGAGGCAGGAAGGAAGTCCTTTGAATACTTGCAGGGCACATTGCAGGACTTATCTGGTTTCCCTCTAAGCCAAACAAGAGAGACCCTATCACTACCCCTGATCAGGATGCTTCCCCAGGCAGGAAATTTATTGCTTTAAACTCATGCCCTGAAGTACCCAGTGCTGTACGCTCTTTGTACTGGGCACTAAAGCTTGAATGAGCAGATCAAATTCCAAAGAATACTGAAGTACTCTGCCAAGCCAAGTCTGAGCCAAAAGGACTATAGATGTTACAAAATGCTATTGCAAAATGCACACCCCAACATAAGATTACTCTCTGGTGTCCTTGGCAATTACATCAGTCAACACTGGTCTCAGTGAGGACAGGAAGAGACCCTTTTGTTTGGATCAAGTTATCCTTTCTTAAAGGATAACAGAGGTTCATTAAATGTTGCACAAGAAGTTTGTACTCAAATGAGCTGAGAAAAACTCAGGAAAATTTCCATGGCAGACATTAAAAAAAACTTGGTGTTGGACAGAACTTTACTTATTTGAAATATCTTACATGAAATGGGGGCATTTTAGAGTTTAAAATCACACTGGCAATTAGAGTGCAAGGGCAAGTCCTCAGCTGTGTAAGGATCACCCACAAGAGAACACTTCAAGCCAGGCTTTCCCGGAGGTCAGTGGTTGATAACGGAACATACTTTTGATTTGAGAAGAGTTTTGCTGAAATGCAGTCTCAAGCCATTTGCTGCTTCTGCATTGATCCCATTGTTCTGCAGCTGGTCCATAGGGATGTTCCTATTTTCAATGCTCACAGCCTTTAGTTCCCCAGGAAATTCCGGTATGGCGAGAGTCATGTGTGTGGCATTACAAGTCACAGAAGGATCTGGAAGAAATGATTAACAATTTCCATTACTCCTCTTGATGAAGCCTCCAGAACAGCGTTTCCCACTGCTGACTTAGCTTTCTGGGACCTCACCTAACACACAAATAGCTTGTGATGAGAAGATGATCTTCTGCCCCGGAGATAAAAATGAAAGCTTCAGAAGTGCAGTGTAGAGGTGACCGTTTCCTTCCTGGAGAGACAGCATTTTGGAATCAATTGGTTTATTTGAATCTCTAACCAGTAAGAATGTACAAGGGCAAGAATATACTCAAGTTTTGGATACCCTTTGATACGAATGGGATGGAGGAATTTTTTTCCCAGGGTGTTCTAGTCCTAATCTCATCCCAACATATGGAAAACAAGTGCTGTCCATGGGAAGGACCTGTAGCTGATGATTTCTGGGCAGGAATGAGAAAGATGGCCTTATTCCAAGACTGTTTTTTAGTATCAGCAGTCAGAAAATTTATGACTTGGCAATCTGCTTTTGCTCAAAGTGAAAGGGACCATTCTTGTCGAACTGGATGACATTTGAGCACTTATGTGCCAGGACCTATCCCAGGGACAGTCATGTGTCACAGGGATACCTCCTGAGAAATGCCATTGAAATGAATGATTTTGTCAATGTGCCAGGGTGTTCTTATGCAAATCTGGTTGGTATAGTCTACTGTAAACTAACAGACAATTGTGTGTGCTATGCTTTTATACAAATAGTGGCACACTAGGTTTGTTCATCCCAGCATCACAACATATAATACTTTGTGCCATGATGGTTCTATGGTTACGCCGTCACTAGTCAATAAGAATTTCAACTCCATTATAATCGTATGGGGCCACCACTTTATGTGGTTCATCATTGACCTAAACTTTGGTATGCAGCACCCAACTGTACCTTAATACTTTGATTCATTTAATGTAGTGTCTCACTAACATCAAAACAACTTAGAACAGTGTAACCCAAACTGAACACCTTAATCCATAGGTTTTTAAGAGTGCCCTTGTTCTATGACTCACCCCAGCCTGTTTTCTCCCTATATCTCCAGGGAAGGGAGGCGAGGCCCATGTCTCTTTTGTTCACCATTTCATCTATAGTACCCAGTGAAGTGCTTGCCATGTAGTAGGCATTAAAATACTGTTAAGTGGGAAGTATTCCCAATTATTTGGGGACATGGTTGAGAGCATGCTTAGAAATACTGGTCTGTGCCCTGGGGGTGTTACACAAAGATTTTCACACTTACCACATAGTGAGTTACTCCAGTGGCAGTGAATGGCATATGGACAATCATCTTCTGGCTGTCAATCAGGAGACTAAATCCTTGTCTTAGGGCCTCTGGCAGGGTCAGCTTATGGGTACTTGAACTGTTGCCAACCTCAATGATCCATCCAGTATCAGATTTGTTCATCTATAAAGTCAAAAACTTTGTTTGGGAGGGCTGGTGCACATTCAACTGTAGGCTTATTATAGTCTGTTTAATGTTTTATCAGACTCAATTAATGTCAGCTTTAACAGATTTAAATGTTAGTAAGATTTTTAACTTTTAAAGTTACTTTCATACCTCACTATCATCAGCAAAGCCAGAGATAACTTGTGGAAAGGAAAACTGAAAGGAAAAAATAAAATAAAATCACGATGTGAATCTTCTATTTGGAGGAGAGTTTCCAAAGTCCTGCCACCTGCCAGTATACAGAAAACATCCAGAGTAACTGCTATGTCATTCTTATACCAAGAAGCCTGATTGGGTGTAGCAGAAAAAGCTAGCAGGAAAAGCTAGGTTTGTTCCGGGCCAGTCACAAACCCCTGTTGTGCCCTTAGATGTCATTTCACCAGATTTTCTGATACCAAAAGGCACCTGGAAGATCCAAGTTCCCTCCCTTCCATTGTAATTGGAGACACTAGGTTCTTAAATATGCAGCTTTTTACTAAGTCTATGRAAATCAAGCACAATGTAAAGCCATCCTGATCCATTATGATGCAAAAGAGTTACTTCTTGTTAACCATACTCATGCTGGAGTAAACTTCATGAAAATGTGATTGAGCTATTAGGCTCATTTACTGTATCTTAGCATCTGGGACAGGTCCTGGAGTGGGGCAGGTGTCCAGTTTATTGAGTGGTTATTAATGTGATAATGGAATTCTAATGGTCTCCATCCACAGGCATGAAGTGCTAAATATTGAATGTACTCAGTCAAGTCTTGGAGTCACCCTATACGGGGAGTGTTATTGTTCCTTTGGACTTGGAAACATAGCCTCAGTGTGGATGAGAAATTAAACCACAGTCACTTAGCAAATATAGTGAATGCAGGACTGAAATCCTGTTCAGTTTCTCAGCTGTCTAGAGCACCATTTTGTTTCCCCCGCTGGAGCCATTTAAGAAGCAATCAGCCGGCTTCACTTACAGCCACGAAATCCTTCATGCAGACTGTGGATTCTGAAAATCTGTGGATCTCCTCCACCTGCATAGTTGGACAGAAAAAATGATACATGCCATCCGTAGGTCTTAAAGCAGCACTGTTGTCGGCGATTCTGATGTTTATCTCGTGCCCACGAGGCTGTGTGCAAATAGCATAGTAAGATCAGATTAAGTGCTGGTACCTCAGTGAGAACGGCGATTCCAGAATACCACCTGACCCAGCAGAGGGGCAAACCCCTTGAATCTATCAAAACTACAAGTTCTGGAAGGTACCTCATTCCTATGCCAGGAGATTCTGTAGACAGCTCTGTTGAGATGGTAGTAAAGATTCATATGTTGGCAGAAGAGTTTAGCATTAAGAATTGAATTTAGTTTTTATTTTTCTCTTATATTTCTCCTATGCCTGGGYGTCATGGTCCTGGCTCAATGGGACTGGTAGGGGACCTCTTCCCAGGTGATTCAGAGCTACCCATTGATCCACTAAGTATCAGCATTGTGCCAGGCAGAGCCACTTTTGATGTTACCTCTGACCTCAGGGAGTGGTATAAAGCATGGGTCTGCTAACCTTTCCATAATGTTAATTGCTGTATACTGAGCCACACATTGCACTTAAAAATTTTTCTTTAAAGCAGGTCATGCATTCCTGTAATCCCAGTGGCTCAGAAAGAAGGACCACAAGTTCAAAGCCAGTCCTAAGCAACTAAGCTAGGCCCCGTCCCCAAATAAAGAACTGGGGGTGTTGCTCAAAGGTTAAGTATCCCTGAATTTAATCCCTGGTACCAAGAAAACATTTTTTAAGCACCATTCTTAGCTCCGGGATTATTGAAGAAAGGACATGGGTTAGACTTTGACCATCCATTTGTTGACATTTGCAGATCCCTGGCTTAAAGAAATGTAACTCTAACACCCTTGAAGTTGGGAAGGTCTTTTAGAAGGAGAAAGTTTAATCACTAGAGATTTTCAAGAAGGGCACCTAATTATTTCATTGGGCAATGTCAGATGGCTTATTTTAAAAACCTGTTCATGGACCAGGATCTAAGGTTGTACCTGCACAAAGCAGAGACTGTAGGCTACTTGCACTGGGATCAGATGATGTGGCCTGTGAAACATAMCAATTCCTATGGCTCACCCCAGCCAGACCTACCTCAAAATTAAATTCATGTTTTTCTAATTCTCCAGGTGATTCTTTGCACACTAAAGCTCGAGAACTTCTATGACAGGTTGCTTTCATTACTCCTAGCAACCCTGATTGGGCAATACTGTTGCTTGGCAATAGAGAAGCTCTCATTGTTTAGCTACCATTTGCTTTTAAACACCTGTTGGTAGGCTAGAGATTCTCTATTTGCTAGCAATGAAATAGCCGTCCATCTCACAGGGGTCACTGATAAAAATAGTTCATGTTTGAGCATTTGCTTAGGTTATGGGCCAAGTCTTCATCTAGGGGAGTATCAGTCTTCAGTTACCCTGTGGAGTGGGTACCATTAGATGCATTTTCCAACAGGCAAACAGACACTTAGGCAACTTGCTTGAGACCATATCTAGTCAGTGGCAGAGCCAGAGCTTCTCAGCATTGGCCTTTCAATCCGATTACAGTTACACAGGACCACTTTGGGCAATGTAGGCTGTTTAGCAGATCTTGTACCTCTGGGCGCCAGCAGCAGCCCCCTCTCCGCCCATGAGTATGATAACCAGCAATGTCTTTGGACATTGTTAAGTGTCCTCTGGGAAAGATTAAAATCCAAACCAAACCACTGCACTCTRGTTTATTTAGAGCCACTACTTTACTCCAATGCCTAGCTCCTTAACTGCCAAGTTGACTACCAAGTGGCTCTTAGGTTACTACCAGCCAACTCACTCCTGAAAACAATCACTTACCACTTTCCTGGTACAGGTCTCATATGGGACCTCCAGGGTGAGATTTGCCGAGTCCAGTGTRTAAGTGCAGTTCAGTATTTCAGCCCCCAAGGAATCTGCAGAGGCCAGAGCAGGTTAGACAGGGGATGGCTGAGAAATACATTTCAATGACAGTCTGCCAAGGACAGAGCCAAGGCTGCCAGTCCATTTCTACAGGATTGTAGTCACTCCATATTTGACCCAATTCGGTGATTTCACTCCAGCTTTGAGAAGCTGTGCCTTGCATCTAGAAGTTTCCTAGGAGATTCTGATATAAGATACTCTTCCTAGGAAAGATAGGTCTTCCACACTTGGTGGCATCACAGAGTCAGGGACCTGGCAACAGGGGAGTTGGATGCTARTTGCTCCAACATTCAGGTTCTCTGTGCACCAAATAGGTGAGTCCTGTACCAAGGGTTCTCTAATTGGGGCTAAGATGAGAGTGCATTTTCCTTACCCACCACAGATGCATGCCATTTCTTGGTGCCATGATGGTTTGAGAAGCTGACTGTTACTCCATTTTCTTTGCAATTGACAGCGCCTAGAAAGCCAAGGAAGCATTTGAGATACCAGAGTTCTAGGAGGCACAGTTCCTACAGAAGTATATGAAGAGACCCTCCCTGATCAGTATCAGAGAAGGRTGTCAGGTAAAACAGGCAAGGGTTGCCCCCAATCCTTAGGGAGCTCACACGTGGGCAAGACAAACACAATGTAATATACCAAGGCCCATAAGGAAGGGATCAAACACTCAAAGCTTTCTGAAGGTCCAAGGGTATGTCTAGACTAGGATTAGCAAGCAAGTCTGCAGAGGCCAGGTCAGAACCTTGGCAGTGGAGCCGAAGGAGATGGTAGTTCTGTAAAGAACTGAAAAACAAAAGCTTTGACGACAGGTTTTTTGAGTTGAAGTAAAAAATTCTGGGTAAGACTCAGGGCACAWTTCTTTTTTAGACCCAATTCTGCCCACGACCTGCTTTTCTGCAACTTCTGGCTCAGATAAAATCTTGAAAAACTCCCATTTCAGGGGAACAACTTTGATTTTTTTTCTTTCCTGTTATGTTGATGCTTCCTTTAATCATGAGTTCACARTTGAAGACTACCAATTCTGGGGACGAGGGCCTACTGCTATGGCTTATTCTGTGGATTCCATAAAACCGAGGCCACGGGAGACTGGAAAAGCAGTAGAGTGTTCTTGCAAACTCCTTTATTTAGATGACATAGTCAGCCCATAGGTAGGAGGTTAATGATCAAGTAAAGGTGGTGAGTTGTTTATATGTTGCCTGGCCATCTAGGCATTGACCTATAACCTGTTTTCAGAGATAAGGAGACATCCTCACCAGAAAGGCATACCTGGGAAGCCAGGATTCACTGGCTGAGGAACTAAGTTCACCGAAGTCACAAGACTRAAGAAGAGATAAAGTGACCTGTAGGTGTTAGAGGAGAACAGGAGTGAGAGTGGAGGAAAAATGAATTTTTCTGCTTATTATTCTTTCCATTTTTTTTTAGTGGTGCATTATAGTTGTATGTGATGGTGGGATTTGTTGTTACAAGGCCACACATTGCACACAATGTAAAAATTCAATTTGGTCAATATCACTCCCCAGTATTTCCTGTTTCCTTCCCCTGGTCTCTTTCCTCTGCCGATCTCCCTTCAGCTTTCATGAGAAACCCCTCAGTCTGTGCCCCCTCCCCCCGCCCGGCTTTTCTTTTTTCCTTTCTAGCTTCCACATATAAGAGAAGGCCTATGACCCTTGGCCTTCTGAATTTAATATTTCTCACATAGTGTCCTCAAGTTCCATCCATTTAAGGAAGAATTAATTTAAGCACACAAGGGCATTTCATCTCCTCTCCCTGATTCCAGAATTACTCACCTCCAGCTCACAGGGAACCAGCTTGTGTACCTCCTGGAATCTCCTCTCTGCCCCCACGCCATGGCAAGATCGCCACCCACTGCACCCGGCAGAGAGTGGGCTGCTCTGTGCTGTTATATCAGGAGGCAGGGGTCGGCCCCGCCCTCTCACCACTCAGGGCACCTGAATCTGCTCAGCACAGCTGAGAGGAAGGGATTTGGGAAGGAAGTGGCATCTGACTTCTGCCTCTTGTCTTGGGTAGTCTGCCAGCTGCTTCTATGGGTCAGTCATGAAACCAGAGTTCCCTGAAATTGGTTTTAGGTGGGTGAACTGCTGTTTTCCCCATAACTTTGGAAAAACTTGAGATCTTTTGGACAAAACATTTACAACTCCAACGTACAATGAAGAAGGGTGATGGACTTTATCAAGGAGGGAACAAATTTAGTTATTGCTAAATCTTTTCTTTAACCTTTAGTGTCCTGACTATTGGAGTCACCCTGGTAATAGGCACTTAGAAAAAAAAAATGGATGAAATATTTACCTCCAAGCATGAAAGTTTAAGCTTGCTGCAAAAGATGCAGAGCATTTAAAGAAGAATACAAAGAAAAAGTCAGTCATCCATGATCTTGCTACTATTATATTTAGATGTGTAACTTCAGAGACTTTTGCTAAAAACACCACACACAAAAACAAAAAACTAGGAGTAAAATTTAAATACTGTTTTTTTAAAACCTGCTGTCATTACTTACAACATGTCATAAAATTTCCATGTCATGTAGAATGATCTCCATTATCATTTTTAAGGTTGTATAGTATTCAATGCTTAGATAAATCAGTGTTTATTTAGCTTTTATTGATGGCATGAAAATGGTTTTCAATTTTTCATCATTATAAACAATCTGGTGAGTATTTTTAGACATTTCTTTGGTTAGCCTTTAGCATAAATTCCTAGAAGTATAATTCCTGGGTCAAGGGGAGTAGTGATCTGAATAAGAATGCCCTATTGAGTAGCACTGAGAAGTTTAGGGGTGGGGAAACTGAGGCAAGGCAACTTCTCCAAGCTCTGAAAATTGAATGTCAGGGCCAGGTTGAAATCTCAGATTTCCTGAGACCCAGTCAATGGATCTTTTCAGCATCTCTCATTGCTCTTGGGACACCTAGATGTCAGCTCAGATTCCCAAACAGGTGAATTGAATGTTTGAACTCTGCCCAAGTAGCAAGATAGCATTTGCAATTACTGCTTTCTGCCCTGCCTTCATGGTGTAATTGGAGTGGTAATCTCCATTCTYTGTTTCAGCTTCTGAAATACCTTTGTAGTTGAGAATAGTGTTTCCCAGGCTTCCTTGATCAAAAGGATCACGTGGGACTCTAATTAACATCACAGATTCCTGGGTCCCACCCAAAAGCTGCTGAATTAGACTCTCCAGGGGCGGAGGCTAGAGTAATCGACCCTTAACAAGCACCACAGTGATTCTTATTATAATCAGGAGAATCTGGAAAATACTGAGGAGAGGAAGGCAAGAAGATGAGTGGATGCCACAAGTTAACCTCACTAGGGGAGTGGATTGCTTARATCACGTCCCGGTGGTACTAGGTTGCAAAATACAAAGAAGTAGATTGGGGGCACTCAAGATGCTGAAAGGATTTTGTTTCAGAGCAGAGTCACTCTAGCAATGGTAACTCCTTCTAAGCATATTTCTCCCAACATGGAACCTTTTCTACAAATGGAATTTACCCTGATGGTTAAGAAATGGCATTGAAGAAGGGGTGGAGGCGTGTGATTTACAGACCTATGGAGAAGGTGGTCAGAGATAATGGGTAAAGGTGCTTGTCTGGCCTCTCCCAGATCCCACTCCCCCAATCCCAAGACTATCATTTTCACCAGAATAGGATGTTTTGCTTTGGAAAAGGCAGCTTTGGTCAGAGCCCAAACCTGGGGGCTCCTGGGAGGCTGAGAAGCCCTGAGGAGGAGGCGTGGAGAGGAGAAGGTCTTCGGTGGGCTGGTGAAGTGCAGCAGAGATTAACTTCATCTCTGTCTCCTCACCCAGGCCCATGCTGTGCCAGGGACAGCCACCCAACAATTGGCTCCAGGCCCTTGGGATCAGTTTCTAGGATTCCACTTTAGAAAATCCCTGTGTCCATCTATGAGGAGTGAAGTCAGCTTTAAAAACAGGAAGAAATAGCTGCTCCGTAAGATGAAGTCTCCTTAGCAGTAGGTAGGGAAAAGCTAGTCTTTACAAAACAGACAGGTTCTTAATATCTCACGAAATGAAATAGTGGGGTCTCTCAAATGTAGGTGTCCACCCTCTTTTTCAATGAACTTTTTAAGTTTGCTAATTTATGATTATAGGGGTGTTCCTTTTCTTCTTTTCAGAATGCCCTGGTCTTTAGTTGAGTATCCCAAGGCCTCTCCTGCTACCTGCAAGGCATTTCTTGAGGGAGTTTAAGTTGCTCTTATGCACGAAGGAAAGCTTATTGGTTTGTTGTGGCTGAATTTGGGTGGTGCCCTCTTTCTGAGGTGCAGTTCCCATAAAAATAGTTTGTGACACTTAAAGACTGAATCTGCSATCTTGTTGTCCACAACCGTTAAAATATGAACTGAAGAGAACCTGAAGGAATGAGCTTCAGCTATTAGATATGATTGTGTGGATCCATCCAAACCTATGAATGCTGATGTGGAAGGTAGCCATAACATGGGACTTTAGTGTCATTAGATGTGGAAAATGACAAACCCCCAAATAGTGCAGTCTTGGAAAAAGGAATGAAAAAGAAAGCCATACATTAATAACATCCATCTTTTCCCAGTACCTTCTTTCCTGGTGACCAAAACAAGCCCTGGTAAGAAGGTGTCCATCCAACCAAGAATAACAGTCTCTGGGAAGAGACTTAAGCACAGATCTCTCGCAAAATAAGTCCTTTCCAGATGCTGGCCACTGACCCCCAACCCTCCGCCTTGCCCATAAATACAGATCCTGGATACTGACCGCTGACTCTGGGCCCTCCACAGCCCAGTCAAAACAACAACAACCAAAAAGCAAATTCCTGAGTGCTCAAAGTGACACAGTCATTAATTAGTAAAACAGACCAAACTGGCAACGCTCATTAATTAAGTCACTTCTCAGTATAATCTGTAAAAGCCCAGACTCCTCGTTTGGCTGGTGGCTCATTTTCCACCAGGAGAGTGGGTCCATCAGAGATGTAATTCCATCCTGAATAAAGACTGTGGTGATCCCTGACATTTGTATCCAGCTGGGTCCTTTTGTACTAATAAGTGTGTTTTCATTTGAAAGAAAAAAAAGTGAAGAAACTTCTCTGTATGTCTCTATCTTTATGTGGGTACATAAATGTGTCTTTGCATTGAAAATCCAAAGGGTCTTTCAGAGTGTTAACAGTGTCACCCAGGGAAAGAGACTATGCAGGTGCTCAGTGAGACCACGTGGCTTTGCGGGGCACTGACCACCGTGGCTGCCAAAGTTCGGCTCCCTATCACAAAATGAAAACAGTAAGTCTAAAGAGGTCTAGTGATTTTTCCCAAGGTCATTTACTAAGTTAATAGCAGACAGCTCCAATGAGAAGCCCTGTCTCTTGATGCTATCCCCACCCCTCCTTCAATTTCATTTCCATTTTCTGTGTGTGCATGAGGGGGCGTTTTAAAACTCTGTGCTTTTCTTACAGTTCACTTAGCTTTAAAAGTACAAGATGACATTAATTAGAATTTAGCAGTATAAGATAAATAAGAAATAGACTTCTACCAGTTATGCTAATACAGATTAAAATAGCTTCCAAATATCAAATGTGAATTTAACTTGGCAAAATAAGACTGTCAATGAGAACATTCTTGAACATCATGTGGTAGTTTCTTTTTTACTTTCTTCTTGGTACTAGGGATTAAACCCAGAGGTGCTTAACCACTGAGCCACGTCCCTGACTCTTTTTTTTTTTGTATTTTTATTTAGAGATAGGGTCTCATTGAGTTGTTTAGGTCCTTGATAAATTGCTGAGGCTGACTTTGAACTTGCAATCCTGTTGCCTCAGCCTCACAAACCGCTGGGATTACAGGTGTGTGCCACTGAGCCTGGCTATGTGGTAGTTTTTTTTTTTTTTTTTTAAATAATGTAACTATGGTGGTAATGTGCTCCCCTTTGGACCTTTAGACAGACCCAAGTTGAATGAACCTTCTAACAAGTAGTAGATTAAGAGGAAAAACTAGGACAAAGGCTTTGCCTATAAATGTACAGGTAGGACTGCTTCGATAAATTAAGACAGAAAGCTTAGATGCTCTAAATAAAAGCTCATTTGTATGTAAATGTCAACTACAATTAATTTATACACCAATGTTAACACAGATTACTCTGTGCTAATAGCTGGGGCGATGGTTACCATAGGAATAAAGAAAAGGTTTTCTTAGCAATGTAGCATGTTCCTTTTAGTTAATAGAAAATAAAATACTTGTCCCCACATAGCCATGGGGGATTGATTCCAGGATCCACCAATGACCCCCAAATCCTCAGATGCTCAAGTCTCTTTTATGAAATGGCACAGTGTTTGCATACAACCATGCACATCCTTCTGTTTACTTTAAGTGATCTCTAGATTACCTGTAATACCTAATACAATGCAAATGCTATGTAAATAGTTGTTATGCCATATTATTTAGGGAATAATTATGAGAAAAATAATACAGAAGCAATATTTGCTTCCTGAATAGCTTTGAACTGTTTGGTTGAATCTGAGGTGGGAACCTACACACATGGAGGGCTGACTGTATATTAAATTTCTTAAAGTGATATGATGGATTAATTGTAAGGGCCCCACTTTTCTACCCCTCTCTATACTCCCACTCTTTGCATTGTGTGTCCTTGTAGTCAACCTGTTTCACCCCTTTCCCCCACATCTGCCTTATGACTTGCATTTGCCAGTAGAAAGTGGTGTGCCTGCATGCCTGTTCCAAGCCTAGCTCTCAAGAGGTCTTGCCCACCTATGCTTTCTCCATGAGAACAAGCCCAGCCTAGTCTATTGGATGATGGGCAACCCCAATGAGCAAAGCCAGGCCATCCTGGAGTARCCAGACCTCCACTGAGCT